ATTTATTGACGTGCATCCTGGTAAACAATGAACGTTTCGTGGTCACAAAGGATCCCCTTCATCAGGTAAAACATGATGAAGGGGATCCTTTGTGACCCCGAAATGTTAGTTGTTTTTTACCAGGATGCATGTCAATAAATAGACGTATTTTGCAAAATTGGAGTGCCGGTGTCTCTGCTTTAGCTCACGATTGTTACGGCTGCCACCCGTTGACTACCGCAGCACCCAATTCTTGAAGGGATTCACGCGGTCAGGAGTGCGATGGGACCATGGACTACCCATGTTCAGCGGGTCGCCGCATGCCTTCCACTTTTCTAGGTGAGGGGCTCCTCTGCCTCCCCCTAACACAGCAATGTCGGTTCTTGCACCGAGCAGCCATTCAAAATATGCTGCCCGGTGCCGAGTGTCAGCTTAAGGTGGGGTGAGCAGGCAGTATGGTCGTGAGGGATCTCCATCCATACGTGCGTTGCTTACAGCTCCCTCGCATGTCCTGTAGAGGCGCCTGAACCGGAGTGACGTCACATTCTGGTTCTCGTTACCTCTACAGGAATTACAAGGGAGCTGTACCAGCAATGCACATATGGATGGAGCTCGGTCACAGCACCCCACACTGGGCCCAGGCTGAGGATCCACTCCCGTTCTCGTAAGGTAGGGAGACTGGGTAGACCCTAAAAAAAAAAAATGTTGGTGTGTGTGTGTGTGTGTGTGTGTGTGTGTGTGAGATTGTGACTGTGGTTATGTCAGTGTTTTTAAAGGCCCATTCACACTAGTACAGTGCATTAAACTTCACCAAGCAATCCCACCTACCATGCATTCTGGTGCAGGATGTTTGTTTTGTTGACATTGATTTGAATGGTACCCCAAACGCATCTCCCACCTACAGCTTGTGCACCGGCACCCATGGTACCCAAAGGTCGTGCTTTCCATTACAGTGCAACTTAATGACTAAGGACAAATGTGGGTCCTGAGGTTACACAGGAGAGAACCACTGCTCTATGTGATAGTTTGGAGGTGACAGGTTCTCTTTATAGAACCTGCCCTCCAACACAGAACCGATCTTCTGTGCAGTTTCTGACAGCTGAGGCAGGTGGCGCTGTGATTAAAGCACTCTGGTATCACAGAGAGGAGAATGGATGTTCTTCGATCTGCTCCCCACTCTCCATCCTGAGCTCATTTGCTGTGGGGGCCGGGTCCCCCAGAAGAGCGGGGGGGACCCTAAAAACCACGGCAGGGAGGGAGGAGGACAATCAGGCTGGTACAAGAGATCTGATCGGTTCACTTGTATAAAACGTGCAGCGGTTCCCCACTGTACATTTAGTTCTTATTGCCCAAACCTGGGCTAAATGTTGGGGGGGGGAAAAAAACTACCAGCCCATCGCCCGGAACTCCATGTCCTGGGTGTCAGGTGATGGGAATTCTGCATCCCTGAGGTTCCTTCCTCTACTGAACCAGGGGGGTCTCTCTTCGGGAGAGCCCCCAACCCAGTATTCGGTGGTCGGCTTTAGATGGCTATCAGGAAAGGGTCTGCCTGGTTTTGGCCAGGTAGATGAGTGCCTTGTCCTCTGGGTGGGGTCAGGGAAGGGCACTATCTCTTCGGGAGATGCACCGGTTGACACACCATCGTGCACTTTTGTGTGTGTTCACGTGCACTTTAACAATATATTTTTATTAAGTATTAAGAGCAGGTGCATACAGAGTCCAAAACAGTAGGTTGAATACACATGTCGACATAACAGTAAGATCGGTAGTGTCAGAGGACTTATCAGCCTGCAACAAACCAGTCATCTCAATACGCTAGTCAGTGGAAAGAAACAGGCCTCAATCTCGGTATAAGTAGGGAATGCGACATAGAGTACCATGCCTATCCCTCAACACTGCCTGAGGTAGGAACTGCGCTTAGATACTTGAATGATCTGGTAGGTTATAAGGATAGGGAGCTAAACATGTAGGGGGAGGGAAGGACAAGACTATGGAAAGGGTCTATGTAATTTGCCATATTACCTGAATGTAAATTAGACTTCAAAGTAAAACTACTCAGTATATGGTACACTGATAGAGACTTGTACCAGCAAGTATAGGTCAAAGAAATATTTTCAGTCTACCATTTTAGGAAAAGGTTTCGCTAGGGGACGAAATCGGGGGAGGGTAGCTATAAACGACAGGCAGTAGGACCTGGTTGGATATCATGTGGTACGTATAGTACATCTAAGGTCTTTCATCCAGCATAACCAGTTTGCATTAAATTTATCCCATTTGAAATGGGCTTTTGCATGGAGCATTTCAATGTGGGCCTGGATGTTCAGTATTTCGAGAACAACATATACACTAGGGGTTTCTACTTGCTTCCAATGTCGCGCCAGAGCTAATCTGGAGGCTATCAGTGTGCGAGAAACAAAGGTACGTTGGTTGGGGGGGGGGGGCAAAGCTTTATACCTATCCCTAATAGTGCTAACTGAGGTGATGGAGAGCAAGCAAGGTGCGTCACAGAAGAAATAAATCTAAATATAGCAGCCAAAAATGGTTTCAATGCAATACAGTACCACCAGATGTGGGGTCAAAGAGCCAGTTTTTCCACAATTACGCCAACAGTAGGAGGACGCAGTTGGGAAAATCTTAGCTAACCTTTGTGGTGTGTAATACCTTTTATGGAACATTGTTTGAAGGGACTCCCAATGTGTGATACAATTAGATGTTTTTGGAGGCCATTCAATAGCTTTACGCCATAGGGTAGGGAGTAGCGTAAAATTCAACTCCTTCTCCCACCACTCCATAGATGGAAGTTTCTCAAAAGTTTGTGGTCCAGCAAGGAGTTTATAGAAGAAAGAGAGGCCCTTACGTGGGGGGGGGGGGGGGGATTAGGAGTTTGGTAGAAAGAGATAGTTCGTCTAATAATGTGGCTGTCCTTAACTTGTGCAGAGGCCATAAAATGTCGGATCCTGAGGAATCTATAAAATTCTTCAGGGGAGATGGAGAATCTCTTGGAGATCTCTTCAAAGGAGAGTAGAGATCCATTGTTGTGCAGTTTGTCCAAATGAGTCAAGCCCATATGCATCCAAGGGGTTAGGCAGATGTCGTCAAGGATGATATCCAGAGAGGAGAGAGGTATTTGTTGGAGGAGAGAGTTATCGGTTACAGAGGAAGGTGAGGCCGGAGATGCCCAGACTCTATTGGTAGCTGTGACCGTGTCCAATAAGGGTTTGTTGGGAGTGAATTGTAGAAGGAGGACACACAACAAAGAGAAGATCTGTTTTAGAAGCAGTGCATTCAATTTGTTTCCCGGTTATGTTGGAGGAGGTATTCCACCACTGGCTGGTTTGATCCAGGATGACGGCTTTATAATATTTTTGTATATCTGGCTCCCCTAGGCCTGCATGTGATGTTGGAGTATATAGACACTTAGGAATCCGATGTTTTTTTCCTCCCCATATATAGGAGTCTAGGATTCGTTGCAGGTTCAGTAGGTAAGAAGGCAGGATAGGAATGGGCAATGCTTTGGTGAATAATCTGGAGGTAGGAGACGTCAAGGATATACCCAGATAGCTAATCGTGTCGGATGGGGCCCATGAGAAGGACGTGACCAGGGCAATGGCTCTCTTCTCAGATGTAGAAAGATTAATTCCTAGCATTTGAGACTTACTGTCATTAACTTTGTATAGTGAAATTTTACCAAAGGAGGTAAGAATGAGGTGTGTTTCTTGGACACATAGTATGTCACAATTCAGAGATGCAGCTTCTTTCCATAGCATGGCTCATTTAAACGGACTATTAAAGGAGAACTACGAGGTGAGAGCTTTTCACTCCCCTCATAGTTTCAGCCGACCTGTGACAATGAGACTGTCACAGGTCGGCTCAGTAGATCGGGAGGTGAGTGATCACATACCGGCGTTCGCTCACTTCTCGATCCTGTCACAGCTCTCTGCCGTGACAGGGGAGGGGATGGATTCCCCCCGCTCCGATCCGCCAGCTCTGACTGACGGAACGGGCGGGTACAGCTGGCTCTGCCTCTAGATAGGCAGAGCCAGCTGTCAGTCACGCAGCTGGGCGGATCTCGGCATAATTGTCAGGATCCGCTTCAGCTGCGGCGTCTCAGTATACCGCGAGCTGCAGCCTAGGGTGACGGGAGGACGCTAGTTTGTGTCCTCCCGTTACACTAAGGAGAAGTATGGGGAAAAGCCCTGACCCCATAGTTCTCCTTTAAGTCCTTTCACACTCAGAGAGCTAATCTTATCCGCCATAATTATTTATAAAAAGGTGTAGAAAATGAGCCTGGGAGGGACGCTGAAAGAAACTGCAGCGGCACTGAAACATCAACATACTGGTGTCTTAGTAGTTAAAGATAGTAGTAAAGACATTGTGAAAGAAACCAGATGTTTCATTAAAGGTGAGGTATAAAATGTCAGGTATATAATGGCAATCAGAGGTAATACATAGGTGTGTTGTAAGGAAAACAATAACATACCAATAAGAACAAGAACTTCGCAATAAACATTGCAATAACATAGTTCAAAAAGTGTGCGTAGCACACAAGTAACCGGGGGTGTGTGGAAAAAGAAAAGGCACACAATAAACTTCAGCTTAGCGATCCTGAGATGTGGTAGAGGCGCCACCTAGGCGTATCGAAAATGCGTGTTTGTCGTGCGATTCGCGGTAAAAAAAATGTGCGTTTCCGAGGGCTACCTGGCTGTATCCCAATGGAAACGTGCAACAAAAACGCCCCAAAGAAGCTCCTGTACTTCTTTGGGCGTAGGACGTTTTGTAGCGCGTTCATGCGGCCTGTAATACGCCCAGGTGGGAACCATACCCATAGGAAATAATGGGATTTCGGTGTTTGAGCGTTTTGCAGAGCGTAGGAACGCGCCACAAAACGCCTTGATGTGAACCGGGCCTCAGTGGGCTTGAATGGACTCCTATGAGTCTAATGCAGGAAACGCTCAGTGCATAGACCAGTCCGCCACATGCTGTGGGGTCTTACGTTGCACTGTTGGAGCAGGTATGGAGATTGTGAGGCCCCAGGAGTGCAGCATATCTATGCCATCCAGAGGTGTCAGGATAGCGATGATTTTATTTTGATATGTAACCAGTACTTTGGTAGGGAAGATCTTGTTCTCTCTGAGAGATGAGGTAATCGGAGCAAATTCCCTCCTTTTTGATGCGGCGGCTGCTGATATATCGGAGTAGAGTGAGAATAGGGGTCAGGCAGGCTGGCTGAGTGTTTGGTCAGAGCCAGGAGTCTCTCTTTTACATGGTAGTAGTGCAGCCCAGCAATGACATCCCTGGGTATGGAGGTGCTGCGGTTTATGACATGTAATTCAGCAGGGCTGACAGACTCGGGGGATCCCCCTGAATTTAATATGATTCCTTCTGGACCGGTCTTCAAGGTCTGCTATCTTATCCTGGAGCTTTTGAAGCATATGTTGTTGATCAGAATAGGCATCAACCATGCTATTATATGCTGATGCATAGTCACTCATTCTGGCTTCAATGTGAGCTGTACGTTCCCCTATCACAGGCTCCTTGGTGTGTGGAGAGCTAGCTGGCCTCTTGGAAAGGTGCTTTGAATGCAGAGGTGAAGTGCTGTTGTTGTCAGAGTCACGGCTGCCGCTGTGTGAGGAGCGGGATCTGTGTGAGGTAAACACAGGAGCTGCACCTGCGCCATCTTGTCTCCCTGCTGTCCTGTGAGGAGGATGGTAGTCTGCGAGGTCCTTTCTGCTTCTTCTTTCCCTTAGACATGCTGATCAATGCAGCGGGGAGTAGAACAGGCAGGTTAGGGAATCTGAAGTTGCGTGTGTGGCTGCTGTGAGTCGCTTACAGAGGGATCTCTTCGGGAGCCTCAAATCGTGCCGCCATCTCTGTCTGTGGTCAGGCCACGCCCCTGTTCACGTGCACTTTTGTGTGTATATACAGTATAAGGCAGAGGTGGGAAAACTCCCAACACCCTCCAGTTGTGGTGAAACCTCACATCCTATCATGCCTCTGGGAGTCATGCCTGTGGCTGTCAGAGTCTTGCAATGCCTCATGGGATTTGTAGTTTCACCACAGCTGCTGGTGTGTGTCCCCCCCCCCCCCCCCCGTCTACAGGGACAGGGCAGTACTACCGATGGGTCGGCACATATACAGTATAAGGCAGGGCAGGGGAAAACTACCAACACCCTTCAGCTGTGGTGAAATCACAAATCCCATCATGCCTGTGGCTGTCAGTCTTGCAATGCCTCATGGGAGTTGTAGTTTCATCACAGGTGACGGCTTGGAGTTTGCCCAGACCTGCTATGTACAGACGAAACAATCAGGAGCATGTGATGACCCCCCAGACATAGGAGGGTGTATCCCATGTCCGGGGAGAGTCTGAACACCGTCCAGTAAACGAGCATTGCGGTGATGGTCCGTATCTATAAATAAGAAGAAAAGCCGCAGAAAACCATTTATTACATCACAGGATTTCCAGCTATGATGTCACAGCGATGGGAAGGTGACAGTAAAGTATTCCGAGAGGATTCCCTCCACTTCCTCAGGCTCGTAGTCCCTAACAAGGACCGAGCGTCCATCGTGAGCTCCCCGGATCATGGCAGACAGTACTGGAAATAGAAGAGCACAGGGCATGAGCTGATGACTCTACATGACGGCGCTCTCAGCTACACACATCATCTACGGCTGCAACAACTAATCGATAAGCAGAAGCGCTGGCAACGATTTTCATCATCGATTAGTTGCTTTTCGATTAGTTGCTGCGGCTCTGCTTCTACGTTCTTCTCACCGCTGGTGCCGGCTGCAGCGGTCTATATCCCTTTCAATCCCCACCTGTTTCGGCAGAGGCAGCGGGCACACAGACCACTGCAGCCGGCACCAATTTCTATAAACCAACAGGAAGGAGATACCGCTGTGACTGCATTCCCCCCCACACCTCCGCTGCTACCCCGTTCCTCCTCTGCCCCCTTGCCTCCATGGTACTTCTCTTCGCCCGTGCCTCTGCAGCCGCCCCGTGCCTCCTCTGCCATACCCAGCCTGCTATTGGATATCTTAAAATGCAATAGCAGGCTGGCTATTGTACCCACCCACTGCTTACTCCAATCAGCAGAGGAGGACCTGATGGAGAACTTTTTCCTTCAGGTCCCTCCTCTGCTGATTGACAGCAGGCGGGTGCAATAGCCAGCCTGCTATTGCATTTTAAGATATCCAATAGCAGGCTGGCTATTGCTCCCAGCCTCTAGATGCAGAAGAGGAACGGGGCGGCAGCTGAGGCTCGGGGGGGGCGGGCAGAGGAGAAATTCCAAGATCGGAACATTTGGGCAAGTACAAATACGCGCCATCGGCACAGATACCGATACTAGTATTGGTATCGGTGCATCCCTAGACACAAGTGCATATTCACAGGGCTGAGTGAAACGGTGTCATTGAATTGAGGAAGTCCAGGCTATGGGCATCTTTAATAAGTTTACAGACCTCCTAGATGGGTCTGGTTATGAGGAGCGGGATGGAACTTATAGAAATACAGATGTATTTTCCGCGTTTGGCCGGAGATCCCCTTTAACCTCGGCCATTGCTGCGGCTTCATACCTCCTCCACGGCAAGGCCAGCTCGATGTGTGCTCAGCAGTTGCTGTTCAGGCCTACATTTTATTTCCCCCTCTCCAGGAGGCTTCAACTGTATACAGATTCCTCACCTCGTCCACAAGATGGTCTGAACAGGCACAGGATCTTCTTATCCATTGCTACGGCCCGGCCCAGCTCATAGCCAACACCCAAGGACGGCTGGGTCACTTCCGCCACCACCACATCGGCCTGCTGAAGCCACTCGACATCTCTGTCATGGATAAACTTGTCTCCCTGCTCTGCAGCGTCTTCCCCTACAACAGAGAGAAGGGAAACGTGCGCGTTAACTAGTGTGCCGAATCCTGATGCCGATCCATCTCCGTCACACCAACTGATACCAGCTTGGCACAAGGCCGCAACAGTGTGCTCATAATTAAGGAGCGCAACCTCAGATCAATGCTGGAAGTGACCTCAGCTCACCCACCGGCTGTAAATGAGGTCTGCTATTTTTCTTTATATTTTCTTACTTTATCACTTTTTCTTATTTTTTACATTTTTAGCTTGTCGTTTACTTTTTTTAAATAATTTTCTATCTTATTATTGTTTATAATTATTTTCTTATTATTTTTAATATTTCTTATTTTTTACTTTTTAATTTAATTATTTTTTTATTTGTAATTATTTTGGTCTTGGCTTGAGGTAGTGTATGGCCCTCACCCTGGTAGGTGAACACAAGTCATAGCTCTTTCTGCCCATCTCATGAAACCTTCCATACGGGGGTATAAGACCACCATCCCAGGAGCTGTTTATGTGCCCATAAAAAAAAAAAACTCCTAAACTCAGCTATGGAAGTTGAGCCGAGTTCTGCTCTGCGGAACAATGTCTGTTTATAAACCTTCCACTAAAGGGGTGCTCCATACAAGGCACGGAGAGGACATGTTATAGGAGAACTATGAGGTGAGAGCTTTTCACTCCTCCTCATAGTTCTAGCCGACCTGTGACAATGAGACTGTCACAGGTCGGCTCAGTAGATCGGGAGGTGAGCGAACACATACCGGCGTTCGCTCACCTCTCGATCCTGTCACTGTAGAGCCGTGACAGGGGAGGGGCTAGATTCCCCCCTCCCCGCTCCGCCAGCGCTGACTGGCGGAACAGACGGGGGAGGAGGCGGGTACAGCTGGCTCTGCCTCTAGATAGGCAGAGCCAGCTGTCAGTCAAGCAGCTGGGTGGATCCCGGAACAATTGTAGGGATCCGTTTCAGCTGCGGCGTCTCAGTATACCGCGAGTTGTAGCTCCCTATATACTGAGCTTTGGGTGACGGGAGGATGCTAGTTTGTGTCCTCCCGTTACCCTAAGGAGAACTATGGGGAAAAGCCTTGTCACCCTAAGACAAGACTGCATAACACCCTCGCCATAACATAGGTGGGAGATGTTCTGTAGTCCACAGAAGAGAACGGGGAAGGCTGATAACATGCTTATAGGGGGGGTTATCATATACACCTGGACTGTACCCCCTCACATTGTGTCCCCTGGAAGCCGCCATTTTGTCGGAGCCCGATATGTGACAGGAGAAGTTCCACTGAGATTACCGGCTTCTGTGATGTCCGGTCGGGCGATGTGCTCGGTCAGCACAGTTCCATAACGCTGTAACTTCCGAACAATCCTCTCGTAAAGAGCCCGATCCTCCCGACCGCCCCGAATACTGCCACAGAAATACACCGACAGAGCCATTCGCGCCTCAGGGCAGACCGGCCAATAGGGGCCAGAGGAGGGGGTCATGTGACCGCGGCGCTCACTAGGGAGGCAGTTGGAGAACTCGATATAAGTTGGAACTTTATATAGAACACCGGGGAGGGGTCATGTGACTGATCACCTAAGGGACGGGGTCATGTGACTGCTCTCTCCTGACAAGGGGACGATGGTAAAGTAGGGATGACTACTAGTACTGAGGGAGAATAGCTAAGAGGACCAGTGATGGGAAGGAGGCGAGGAGGGTCTGTAAGGAGAGGGTACTGTTAAGAAAAAGGTGAAGACTAGCAAGGAGAAATAGAGGGCTAGTAATGCTGAGGGAGAGAAGTTATTAAAGAGGATAGAGTAAGTAATGATAAGAAGACAAATAATAACCAGAGGAGAGAACTAGTTAGTAAAGAAGAGAGGACTAGTTAACAGAAGAAGTGACTAATAAATAATTAGAGTGAAGCACTAAGTATCAGAGGACTAGTTACAGGTGGAGAGGACTAGTTCTTAGAAAAAATGACTAGTTAGAAAAATGGACTAGTTATCAGAAGAGAAGACTTCTAACTGGAGGAGAGGACTAATAATCATAGAAGAAGACTAGTAATCAGATGAGAGGACTCGTTATAAGAGGAGAGGACTCGTTATAAGAGGAGAGGACTAGTTCTCAGAGGAGAGGACTAGCTATCAGAAGAGAGGACTAGTAATTGGAGGAGAGAACTAGTTATAAAGAGAGGACTCATAATAACAATGAGAAGAGTCTGGTAGCGGTATGAAGACCTCAGAAGATAATCTGCAGTGTGGTCCCATGGCTCTATGAGAGGACTAGTAATGTCTCCTCGGAATGGTCGGGTATTAGTTATGGAGATCACTTAGGGGGGTTATTCACTAAGCTAAAGGCGGCCGAGTGAATAACCGACCCGAAGTGAAGGGAGCTGTTCGGCTACTCACCGCAGCCCTGTACGGCATTCGGCTCACTTCACCTCCCTCCGGTTCAGCCGAGCAGCGTCAGCGCATTCCGCCGAAGTGAAGAACCCGCTCCCCTCGCCCGAGCCAACCTCTGGAACCTCGAAGAGCAGAGAGGGATCAGCCGAATGTTGCCGTACCTCCGAGGCAACGACCAGAATGAAAATGAGAAAAAAAACCCAGTGTGGGGTCCCCCAAATCATACCAGACGCTTTAGGGGAGGAAATCCCAATGTAAAAAAAAATACGTGGGGTTCCCCTCAAAAGTCTTACCAGTTGTCCCCCCTAAAATTCCCAACCAGATCCTTAATCCGAGCAGTGGCCTGGTAGGGCAGGAAAGGGGGGGGGACGAGTGATGCTGGCAAGGACAAGGGCCTCTCCCCCACAGCCCTGAAATGGTGGTTGTGGGGGTCTGCGAGCAGGGGGGGGTTATCTGCATCTGGGTGCCTCCTTTTATAAAGGGGGCACCCAGATGCCGCTCCCCCTTGTGAATGAGTAAGAGATACTTGTACCCCTACTCATTCACTAAAGGGTTAAATAAACACATCAGACATCAGGAAATGTTGTGGGAGGGGGGACCCCATGGCGGGTTTTTTTTATTCGATTTTGCTACAACTTGCGTCCGCTTCCCCAGACCGTCCTCCCCGGGGGGGCGAAATATATGCGTTCGGTTCGGCTCTTTTAGTGAATAGCCCCCCTTAGTCTTTTAGAATATTTCAGTGTGAAGAATGATGTCATTAGGCCTGTGACATACCAGTGACCCCCCACCACAGACAGGACAAAAGACCCTCTCTATACGTTGTCACCCCCCTCACTGAGCCGGATACCAAAGCATCATGTGACCTGATTTCCCTCCATAGTGGTCTGGTAGTTGGTGACCTGTCATCATCTAGTGATGTCACACACATGGAGGATGTCACACACATGGAGGATGTCTCCTGCAGCTCTTTGCATGCTTTTAGAGCCACCGTCACTGAAAAGGAAAAGAAGCTGATTTATGCCGACCGGTCCCAGAGCTCACCGAGCTAAGGAAGGATCTTCACATCCAACACAATACTGGGAGTGTCAAATGGGGGACACGCTACAGGGACACTGTATAGGAGAGGTCAGAGACACAGTACAGGGACACGGTATAGGAGAGGTCAGAGACACAGTACAGGGACACGGTATAGGAGAGGTCAGAGACACAGTACAGGGACACGGTATAGGAGAGGTCAGAGACACAGTACAGGGGCACGGTATAGGAGAGGTCAGAGACACAGTACAGGGACACGGTATAGGAGAGGTCAGAGACACAGTACAGGGGCACGGTATAGGAGAGGTCAGAGACACAGTATAGGGACACGGTATAGGAGAGGTCAGAGGTTAACAAGGGGCAAGGTCACTTACCTGATTGGTCAGCTACAAAGTTCAGGCGGAGCTTTTGCGGTGGTCCGAGGAGGAGGGTCTCATTGGAGTCATTCAGAGTTCATCGGATGAAGAAAGAACTTCCCGCCCGCCCGAATGCATTGTTGTGGTCCATTTTCTGTCATAGCAGTGGTGGTGTGTTTTTTGGGGTCTTTTGAAGGCGGAGAACATAGGTGATGGTGGTTAAGGTTGGGAGACCTGTCTTGGTGTGGGTCCTCAAGTCATGGTGATATATGGTAGTCAAACAGGCAATTGAGATATGGAGGTGTCTGCGGTCGTTGTGCAGGTTGCCCCCGAGGCGGTGTGGTGCGGCTGGGGGCCTAACGGATTCAAGGGGTTCCGCAGAGACACCATATCCAGTAATAATTTGGGCCTTCAAAAAGACCTTAAAAAATCTCAGGGGGAATTGTTCCAATTTTTTCTGTAAAGTTTATTGTTACCGTATTTGCCGGCGTATAAGACGACTCGGCGTATAAGACGACCCCCTACTTTTTGTGTTGAAATATAGGTTTTGGGCTATACTCGTCGTATAAGACGAGTATAGCCCAAGATAATGTTTACATGCACCCGCTAACATCCATGGCGGTATTCCCGAGTGTGGCTCGGGGTTCATTTGCAGTACCATAAGCGGTACCCCCCGAGCCACAATCGGGATTACAGTCTCTTACCTTGTCCACGATCCCCGCTGTGTCCTCCTCTTCCGCGAGCCAATCACGGCAGGCTTTGTATTCATGAATACAGGTTTTTTCTTAATTAATACAAAGCCTGCCGTGATTGGCTCATCGCGGTATACTGTATGTAGCCGAAGCTACATACAGTATACCGTATCCTTCTGTATGTACCCGACGTATAAGATGACCCCCGATTTTCAGGGGATGTTTTAAGGTTTCAAAACCCATCTTATACGCCGGCAAATACGGTAATTTGTATAATAAAAGAGCTGCTATGGCCATTTAAAGGAGAACTATGGGGTTAAGGCTTTTCCCCATAGTTCTCCTTAGGGTAACGGGAGGACACAAACTAGCGTCCTCCCGTCACCCTAGGCTCAGTATACCGCGAGCTACAGCTACAACTCGTGGTATACTGAGCCTAGGGTGACGGGAGACAGTAGAAAGGTATCATGGCACACTCACAAGCCAGCATGTAAAAAAACTTGTCTCGCCACTAAGGATAATAACAGAGGCTTAGATATACGTCTTCTGCAGAGGATGTGAAAGCCGCACTGCCGCGCCAAGGCACCTCTTATAGTGCGGTCCTAACTCTAAACTATGAGAGTCTCCATCTTGGAGCAGATGGGGGAAGAAGATTTCAAATTGGGTGCAGGTTTGTCAGGAGGAAGCCCAGCCTCCTTAAAAAGGCACAGGAACACACAAGGGATCCCGCACATCCCAATGGCAGCTGAGAACCCAGATATGAGATCCCCCAAAAAAGCCTATCTAAGCCCCAAAATACCAAACATTGTATCTACCAGTCCTGATATGAGGCGGCTGCATTCGTTTTCTTTTTTAAGGCTTTTTTTATTCTTTATTTTTACCTGGTTCTCCTTCCTGTCTCTGGGTGGCTTTCCTCTCTACTAGGGATGCACCGATACCGTTTTTTCGGTATCGAGTACGAGTACCGATATTTTTGTTTTCGGTACTCGCCAGTACTGAATACCGGAAGTCCCATTAAAAGAGAACTATTAGAACTATGAGGTGAGTGAAAAGCACTCACCTCGTAGTTCTCCTTTAACTCCAGCAAGAAGTGTGGTCTATCTAATTGGGTGGAAGATGGAGGTGGGTGGTCATGGCAGTCTTTGTAACTAGGGCATTGGGACATCGGTTCTACATCAGTCATGTGTTTATCAGGTCTGATGTGTTTCCACTTCATCTGGTGCCAGTTCTATGTTACCATATTGCTGCTGGTGTGGAGGGCGGCATAGCTCATCCCCGGCACCTCACACAGCACAGATCTCTAGCGCTGACTCTGTATTGTCCATCTCCTGTGAGTTGTATCGGGTCCAGTAAACTATCGGTAGCGCAGTCAGAAATGATATGTGAAATTGTCACACAAAGTGGCAGATGGTGAAGAATGATGAATGGTGTTGCACTGAGCGCGGTTTATTCTGAGTCCTGCGGCACGGAGAAGTAGTCCTCTCATTTCTTGTACCCAATATACATGCAATATGTTCAGTCAGAGAGCGCACAAAGGGCGACTTTCCTGTGACATGTTGTGAGCAGAGATCTTCGTATGTCTGACGCGTGTTGCCTTCCACAGGGACATGTATTGGGAATCTGGGGCCCGTTGTGTTAGTCCATCTGACTGTAGCTTATATTCTTATTTCATGGTCTGTACACCGGACTCTACTCAGGATGATTGGACGCTCTGCCAGAGATGGTCTGTACACCGGACTCTGCTCAGGATGATTGGACACGATGCCAGAGATGGTCTGTACACAGGACTCTGCTCAGGATGATTGGACGCTCTGCCAGAGATGGTCTGTACACAGGACTCTGGCAGAGTGTACAATGTAACACCTAACAACAACCAATGTTACACTGTGCACTTTCACTTCACTACCCCAAACTACAATATATACTGTACCTAACAAAAACTACACAACAAAATGTCACACTGTACACCTCTACCAGCGTTGTAGATGTACACTGTAGTGTGATGGAGGTGTATGTGTGATATTGTTGTGTAGCAGCGCTGTAGATGTACACTGTAGTGTGATGGAGGTGTATGTGTGATATTGTAGATGTATGGTACATTGTGCTGTGGAACGGAGCGAAGTGTTGTGTTGTATAGTGTAGCATTGTTGTGTACTATGACATTGCAGTGTTGTTTTGTCCTGTAGAGGTGGACAGATTTGTTGTGTACATTGTGTCGGGGAGATCACACAAGGGTCTCTATGTCGGCCCGGCAATGACACCTTCAAATTTCATTGGCTGAAAATTGTCACATTCTGAGAACGTGGTGTGCTTGTTGTGTGAATTGAGTCCAATGTATGTCAAGGTGTCATGTGGTGTGATGTAATGTAGTGTTGTGTACATTGTTGTGACATATAGGGAACAATGCGGTGTGCATTTTAGTGTATTGTACATGTCGGGAACTTGTCTTCAGTCAACTTATGTAATTGTCTATCAGTGTGTTCTGGCAAGGTGCACAGGGTGGTGTGTAGTACAGCAGTGGTCTGTAGAGGTGTGCAGTGTATTGTGGTGTAGTGTCGGGTACAGCTGGCTCTGCCTCTAGATAGGCAGAGCCAGCTGTCACTCAAGCAGCTGGGCGGATCCCGGCACAATTGTCGGGATCCGCTTCAGCTGCGGCGTCTCAGTATATAGGGAGCTGTAGCTCGCGCTATACTGAGCCTAGGGTGACGGGAGGACGCTAGTTTGTGTCCTCCCGTTACCCTAAGGAGAACTATGGGGAAAAGCCCTGACCCCATAGTTCTCCTTTAAATATGTTCACGCTGGAAGTGAGGAGATTGAGGGGGGACATGATCTTCATGTACAAGATCAATATATTAGCAAAAAAGCGCCAAGGGCAATCACTCCTCAATGGGATGTAGTCATGCTGCCCCAATACAGCCGGGGGACTGTGAAGTCTGGAAAGTGAGCACAAAGGAGCGCGCCTTTCCTGGTGCAGATACATTTTATTCAGATGGTCATAACAATAAAATGGTAGTCACTAACATAAAAGGATAAAAGCCACGGAATAATGGACAGATGGCAGGCAAGTGGACATCAGCAGAGTGGTTCGTACGTGCGGTTAAAGTTGACGCATTTCCGGGGCACGCCCCCTTCAACAGAGATGTTCTGATGAAGCGCACAGAGGAACCACTCTGCTGATGTCCACTTGCCTGCCATCTGTCCATTATTCCGTGGCTTTTATCCTTTTATGTTAGTGACTACCATTTTATTGTTATGACCATCTGAATAAAATGTATCTGCACCAGGAAAGGCGCGCTCCTTTGTGCTCACTTTCATGTACAAGATGTTCAATGGTCAAAGCAACATCGGCAACAAACTCTTTACGCGTAAGTCCATAACAAAGACGAGAGGCCACCACCTAAAATTGGTGGGGAAAAAATTCCAGCACAAGGGGCGCAGGGAGTTCTTCTCAGTGAGGCTGGGTTCACACCTGAGCATTTTTTTCCCGCGTTTTTCCGTTCAGTGAAACGCGCGTTTCACTGGTGGTATGATTTTTTGGGGGGTTTTTTTCCTTTATTTTCTCTATTTAAAAAAAAGTTTCACTTTGAAACTTCCGGCTCCGCCCTCCTGCGACGTGGCCGCCCTCCTGCGACGTGGCCGTTAGCAAGGGAAGGAAGTCGGCAGCCGCCGAAGACACAGCGGGGGATCGCGGACGAGGTAAGACCTGTGCGCTGTATTCCCGAGTGTGGCTCCGGGGTAGCGCTTTGGAAACCACCGACCACATCCGCTTTGTAAACCCCGAGCCACACTCGGGAATACCAATGGCAACGCGCGGCAAAACGCCCCAAAGAAGCTCCTGTACTTCTCGTTCCTACGCGCTGTAAGACGCCCAGGTGGGAACCATGCCCATAGGCAATCATTGGTTTTCACATGTTGAGCGTTTTACAGCGTGTAGGAACGCGCTGTAAAACGCCCAGGTGTGAACCAGGCAGACACACACACACACACACACGGTTAGACTTGATGGACTTATGTCTTTTTTCAACCTCAAATACTATGTAACTATGTATTGCTCAGTGTTATTGTAGCAGTGTGTTGTGTTGTGTTATGGAGCACAGTGCGGTGTAATGCATTAAGTATTGTGTAGATGTGTGCAGTGTGTTGTGGTGTATAATGTTGTGTAGTAATGATGTACAGTGTTGTTGTAGCAGTGTGTTGTGGTAAGGAGTACAGGGTTGTGGTGTATAATGTTGTGTAGTGTGTAGTAATGATGTACAGAGTTGTTGTAGCAGTGTGTTGTGTAGAGGTGTGTGCACTGTGTTGTGGTGTATAATGTTGTGTAGTAATGATGTACAGTGCTGTTGTGGTAAGGAGTACAGTGTTGTGGTGTAGAGGTGTGTGCAGTGTGTTATGGTGTATAATGTTGTGTAGTAATGATGTACAGTGTTGTGGTGTAGAGGTGTGTGCAGTGTGTTGTGTATGGTGTATAATGTTGTGTAGTAATGATGTACAGTGTTGTTGTAGCAGTGTGTTGTGGTAAGGAGTACAGTGTTGTGGTGTAGAGGTGTGTGCAGTGTGTTGTGTTGTATAATGTTGTGTAGTAATGATGTACAGTGTTGTTGTAGCAGTGTGTTGTGGTAAGGAGTACGGGGTTGTGGTGTAGAGGTGTGTGCAGTGTGTTGTGGTGTATGTTGTGTAGTGTGTAGTAATGATGTACAGTGTTGTTGTAGCAGTGTGTTGTGGTAAGGAGTACAGTGTTGTGGTGTAGAGGTGTGTGCAGTGTGTTGTGTTGTATAATGTTGTGTAGTAATGATGTACAGTGTTGTTGTAGCAGTGTGTTGTGGTGTAGAGGTGTGTGCAGTGTGTTGTGGTGTATAATGTTGTGTAGTGTGTAGTAATGATGTACAGTGTTGTTGTAGCAGTGTGTTGTGGTGTAGAGGTGTGTGCAGTGTGTTGTGGTGTATAATGTTGTGTAGTGTGTAGTAATGATGTACAGAGTTGTTGTAGCAGTGTGTTGTGTAGAGGTGTGTGCACTGTGTTGTGGTGTATAATGTTGTGTAGTAATGATGTACAGTGCTGTTGTGGTAAGGAGTACAGTGTTGTGGTGTAGAGGTGTGTGCAGTGTGTTATGGTGTATAATGTTGTGTAGTAATGATGTACAGTGTTGTGGTGTAGAGGTGTGTGCAGTGTGTTGTGTATGGTGTATAATGTTGTGTAGTAATGATGTACAGTGTTGTTGTAGCAGTGTGTTGTGGTAAGGAGTACAGTGTTGTGGTGTAGAGGTGTGTGCAGTGTGTTGTGTTGTATAATGTTGTGTAGTAATGATGTACAGTGTTGTTGTAGCAGTGTGTTGTGGTAAGGAGTACAGTGTTGTGGTGTAGAGGTGTGTGAAGTGTGTTGTGGTGTATAATGTTGTGTAGTAATGATGTACAGTGTTGTTGTAGCAGTGTGTTGTGGTGTAGAGGTGTGTGCAGTGTGTTGTGGTGTATAATGTTGTGTAGTAATGATGTACAGTGTTGTTGTAGCAGTCTGTTGTGGTAAGGAGTACAGTGTTGTGGTGTAGAGGTGTGTGCAGTCTGTTGTGGTGTATAATGTTGTGTAGTAATGATGTAGTGTTGCTGTATCAGTGTGTTGTGGTAATGATGTACAGTGTTGTTGTAGCAGTGTGTTGTGGTGTAGAGGTGTGTTGTGGTGTATAATGTTGTGTAGTAATGATGTACAGTGCTGTTGTAGCAGTGTGTTGTGGTAAGGAGTACAGTGTTGTGGTGTAGAGGTGTGTGAAGTGTGTTGTGGTGTATAATGTTGTGTAGTAATGATGTACAGTGCTGCTGTATCAGTGTGTTGTGGTAATGATGTACAGTGTTGTGGTAGTGATGGGCTGTGTGCTGTAGAAGTGTGTCATGTAGTGCGGTGTAGCGGCGCCGTGTAGCGTGGCGCTGTACAGCGGTGTGCGGTGACATTGTTGTGTCAGTGGGTGTGTTGCAGGCTGTGACGTCAGTGCAGTGGTCGCGGTGCATTGTGGGAGTATCCGGCTCCTCTGCAGCACCAGGGACAGCTCCGGGGGGACCAGGGACACCCGCCGGACACCGCCCGGTAGGTGAGTGCCGCCCCATCATACTGACACCCGGGAGGGGGAGGGGACACTGGGGTGACCCGAG